TCTCTCTCTCTCTCTCTCTCTCTCTCTCTCTCTCTCTCTCTCGTCTCCTCGTCCTACGGTCTCCCGCTCAAATATCTTTTTCTCCTCTCGCACTCTCCCTCGCGCACGCACGCGCGCGCGCATACACACACGTTCGCTTCCTTCCAACACTATACGTGACTTGCCTCCGTCACGTACGCCTCACTCACGCAATTTCCACGTTCGTTTCGGAATTCCCCGCCCCCCAAACGTTTCATTTACGTCACAACCTCCCACCCGCCCGGCGCATCATACCTATGTATTATCAAGAGTAGATAAGAAAGTAGATGGTTTTATTATCTACTCTTGGTATTATTAACACTCATAGCACTATATTAGAATATCACACTGGGACATTTACTCAGTTCAAGCCTTTGTCAACTGCCAACTCCAATATCATGTGCGCTCGATTGGTGTTCTAACTCTCACTATACGTGGTATCAGGGAGTGAATAATGGCAAATTAACAAATTGACAAATTGGTTGTTTATTCACGCACGTTGTCGTTGTACACATCGCGAGATTCCGCATGAAATACATCTAGAATACGAGCCACTGAGCTCCGTATAATAACAGCTTAGTGTTATAAGTTATTATATGTTATGTCCTAACAATATGATTAGCAATATGATATTTCATTTCAATCTGAAGATGAGAGATTTCACAAGATTGCGTTTACCGATATATGTGATTAAATTCTAGCGTTAATAAGTGACTCTATCGTAGCGTGCTGCATTATCGGTAAGATTGTGTAAACGTGGAATATAGACAGATGGAGTATTTGCGCACAAATCCTCAACTGTCTCTCGACAGTGGCTCTCGAAACCTATATCTTTGCCTTGCTCGCAATAAGACGACATTTACAAACTGCACTCGGATGGCTTCGCTGGATATATACTCAGAAGCGGTATACGGTTGCTCCTAATTTCATCGAATTGGTAAAATCTCGGTAAAATGATTAGCGGAAACCATGAGGGTAATGGTCAGTAGCGTAAATTTCGAAATGCTTTGTCTAATGAGCGAACAGCGGCGTCGCAGAGTGCGCTGCGAAATGCTATTGACCAATAGCGTTGGTAAATATGACAGAAGCAAATTGCGCCCCGTGAATCACAGGCTGAGTCGCTCCGACGAAGTCGATCCGGCGAGAGGGAGATTACACTCTTTCACGACCAATTTCAAGACTAATGGAACTCATCTATTATCGCGTGCTATCCCCCCGCCTGCCGAGTGCGGGATTGTTCGTACGAGGTTTAAAAATCCATATCGTGACGAACAAACCGATGATTTTGAGATTGAAGACTATGCGGCCAGGATGCTGTGTAAGTTAGCAAGGACTGCTATCGTGACTGACATCCTGCGCTTGCATACATGACTTACACCTTTACACCTTACACATTAGGCCTACCCGTTATACCTTACACCTTACACCTTATGCCTACCCCTTACACCTTTACACCTTACACCTTATGCCTACCCCTTACACCTTTACACCTTACACCTTATGCCTACCCCTTACACCTTTACACCTTACACCTTATGCCTACCCCTTACACCTTTACACCTTACACCTTAGGCCTACCCTTTACACCACACACCTTAGGCCTACCCTTTACACCTTACACCTTATGCCTACCCCTTACACCTTTACACCACACACCTTATGCCTACCCCTTACAGCTTTACACCACACACCTTATGCCTACCCCTTACACCTTTACACCTTACACCTTAGGCCTACCCTTTACACCTTACACCTTATGCCTACCCCTTACACCTTTACACCACACACCTTATGCCTACCCCTTACAGCTTTACACCTTACACCGTAAACCTACCCTTTACACCTTACACCGTTAAACCTTAACCCTTTCTTTGCTCCCAACTCTCTACTTGCAACTTTCTCTTCTTATCTCGCACGCTCCAGCAGCGTGCAGTTCATTATAATATTTAATTAGGTAGCAATGTTTTTCTCGAGCGGGGGAAATCGAGTAATCTGGGAGAAAATTTCTATACGCACGTTTATTTTTACGAAGTGAATATCAACGCAAATAAACGAATGCCATTAAAATAAATGAAGTATACTGATGTACTAACATATTTCTGCTCCGACACTGAATTTAATAAGATAAAATGATGTTAATTTTTAACAGAGACGTATTAAATACGACGAATTCCAAAGTGGAAGCACTTCTATGTCTCAGTCACGGGTTTTGCTTGAACCGGATTTTGTTTTGGAAAGCGATGGATAATGAAGCACTTTTAATTAAAAGTAATAGAGAAGGACTCCGGAAATAACGTCGGAGTAACGTAGGTAAGCATGGCCGTGTCTTTACCAATTAGTTTAAGCTGCTCCACCATACGAGGCACCCACGTAAACGCAAACACAAACATAAACACACACACACACACGCACGCACGCACGCACGCACGCACGCACACACACACACACACACACACACACACACACACACACACCGGCCAGCATATACACTCGCACGAAAGCAGACGCGACGCCACGCACGCACGCACAATACACCACACACAAGCACAACCACACACGTCACACAGCCACACACAACACAGCACACGTCACCACCACCACACGAGCCGGCAGCACCAGCATCTTAAACACACCACAGGCGCCCAGGCACCACACACCAGCATCACACTACGCCGCACGTCGACGGGCTTAGGTTCCAACGCCTGCACGCACGCACGCACACACGCACGCACACACACACACGTACACACACACAGTGTTTACTAATACACAAGTATTCATTAAATGAGTATTTTCCCTCATCCGTAAACGAAAGTCGGTTATAAACGAGGTCTCACAATACTCAAATACACTGTACCGACCATGTAGGATCAATTATTAAGACACGTGGCTGGATCATAACTAATAAAACTTCGCCTATCTATAGTTAACAACAAAATCAGCGATGTGTGCGATCAATTACCGTCTCTTAAAACACTGCTCATTAAAAACTACCCAATGAACCAACTCTCATGAATAAATTCCCTCTACTGCATGATCGATCCTCTATAATCAGCTACTAAAAAGTACCGGCAGTAATAAATGCCCGCTGCAACAACGCCCCCTAACGTCAAACTAATATCTTAATCAGCGACAATCTACGCGTCAAGCAACCACGAATTCGTAAGAAGACCACCCGGCTGAAGCATTTCGCTCTAAGTGCAGCCACGTACGCACATAATGATAATAGGCACCATCGCTGATCCGGGGCGTGCAGCTTTCATGAAAATAGCGGAAAACTTTATAATCACGAGATAACGCGAAAATTGCTGTCCATCTTGGTAATGTATGCGAATGGGTTAATTATTGAAACGACACGACACACACTCTCTTTAATTAATTTGAATCAATTGTGGCTTTAGCGATATCAACGTGATTGCCAAATCTAATGGGGATTTATTCTGAGTGATCTAGCGAAACTTTGCTACTTTAATTGCATTTCGCAAAAATACTGTAGGGGCCTACATATACGGGGCGAACATTATATAACTGTGGCGATGTTTTCTCCTAGATGTCTTTATCCGTCATACGACTGTGTGGCGCATCAACGCGTCTGATGTTCGCAAAAGGTTTACATGGATCTCAGTGTTACCGTAACAGCGGAAAGAAAGAGAGAGTTTTAACGCAGCGAGTCCTGTGCGCATTATTATTACATTATTATTATTATTATTAATTACAGGATTATAATTATTAATTATTGGATTATATTATTGCGTTATATATGCTATATTGTGGCGTTATTAATTTATAAATCCAATTTATCGATTCATTATCCAATTAAATTATTAAATTATTAAATTTATATTATATTTAAAATTATATTTAATTTGGATTTTTTATGATCCAATTAAATCCAATAAATTAATTTGTTTTATAATTATTTAGCCATTAATTAGTAATTATTAGATTATATTATTGCGTTATATGCTATATTATGGCGGATGTGAGCCAATGTGGCGCAAATGCAACGTGATGCACGTGTTTCTATTAATGACTTCATGGAAGCCGAGCGCCCGTGGCGAAATTAATAAGTGGTACTGCATATACATATTTATATTCTTATATATATATATATATATATATATATATATAATATTATATGTTATAATATAATCGGCGGTGTGTTTACGCGATGTAATTAAACAATGAAATCGAAATGCAGTGTTACTTATTGACTTCGCTACGGGCGTTCGGTTTTCAGGAAATCATCAACGGAAACATGTGCATCACGTTGCATGTGTGCCAATTCATTTTCCATCGTACGTAGCGCCAACATTATTATGTCAATTGTTAGTTAATAGGCATGAATTTACTGCGTTTTAAATATAACGATTCATCATTTCCTTTTAATGGGACACGAGTGAAAAGGTCTATCAAAAAGTTGTAGGGATATACTATATAGTTAGTACTTATGTCACTCCGTAGCTCCGTCTTTATTGGACAGATTTACAACAATTATAGCCTTCATCACGCACGCATTCCGCTAGGAAAGGCGCATGCGCATATGAGCACCATATTATTAATCATCATCGCTCGATGCATGATGTCACTGCAACCATCGGCAGCCCCCCTTACCGCGCAATGAGTAAAGGCTAAAGATATGGACAGATTAGTAAAATCATTAAAGAAAAATACGAGCTATTTAGATGGCAAAACCATGCATCGTCGGGAGTTACAATATCAGCTATATGGAGCAACCATATCGAGACCCGCTACTATAGAAACCAAACACAACTAATGTCTCATACGTCTCATGTACTCCACGAAGACACGCGCAATTAATAATGTGATGTCAGCGCAGTCAACTCTTGCACCGAGCGTGTTAATCAACGCGTTTGTCCGTGCAGGTGAAGCGAATAAACCCCAGAGATCGGAAACCGACTACCGCCTCGGCTACATTTATCTTAAGAACGGGGCGGGGCACTTTGCTTTCATCTTTATCTTCTTGAAGTTTTTCCGGTACGTGTCTACTTTACGTTATTCTGACGTCGTCACTGCCATGCATGAGCGCAAATTAAGAAATCATTGCGAACGTGCCAAAACTAGTAGTAGTCGCGATGGTGCCGGTGTCGGTGGAATATTTGAAGAAATAGCAGTAGCAGTAGCAGTAGCAGTAGCAGTAGCAGTAGCAGTAGCAGTAGCAGTAGCAGTAGCAGTAGCAGTAGCAGTAGCAGTAGCAGTAGCAGTAGCAGTAGCAGCAGTAGTAGCAGTAGCAGTAGCAGTAGCAGTAGCAGTAGCAGTAGCAGTAGCAGTAGCAGTAGCAGTAGCAGCAGTAGTAGCAGTAGCAGTAGCTGTAGCAGTAGCAGTAGCAGTAGCAGTAGCAGTAGCAGTAGCAGTAGCAGCAG